CCACCCCCCCACCCCAACGTCCTTCTTTTTGTGTTTGTTATTATCTTGTAACTCCTATTCTTCGGCACTTATATGACTTTATTGTGTTGCAAGTGCTATAAAACACTTATTAACACTTTGCAATCTCTTGGCTCATATAGTAAAATCCTTATCAAAGAGACTGGGTGGTAAACATCGCTGATCGCCGAGATGTGTTTGTAAAATGTTAAAACAATAACACAAATCCCCTGTTCATACGTGAACTTGTCGAGATTTTGTACTCTGCACACTTTCAGTTACACCTTGGAGTGCAACTACAACACGGGACGTATGGTGAACGCCGTGCCCCCAGCGTACGGCGATGACGGGAGAGCAACCCCACCGCCCATGGCCAGCTTCCCACCCAAATATAGTCAGGCTCATTATGAAGAGGTCAGTACTCATTATGAAGAGGTTAGTACTCATTATGAAGAGGTCAGTACTCATTATGAAGAAGTCGTCGAGGTCAGTATCTCACCTGAATATAGTCCGGCTCATTATGAGGAGGTCAGTATCTCACCCGAATATAGTCTGGCTCATTATGAGGAGGTCAGTGTCTCACCCGAATATAGTCTGGCTCATTATGAGGAGGTCACTGTCTCACCCGAATATAGTCTGGCTCATTATGAGGAGGTCAGTATCTCACCCGAATATAGTCAGGCTCATTATGAGGAGGTCAGTGTCTCACCCGAATATAGTCAGGCTCATTATGAGGAGGTCAGTGTCTCACCCAAATATAGTCAGGCTCATTATGAGGAGGTCAGTGTCTCACCCGAATATAGTCAGGCTCATTATGAGGAGGTCAGTATCTCACCCGAATATAGTCAGGCTCATTATGGAGATGTCAGTACTCATCATGAAGAGGTCAGTAGCCCACCCAAATATAGTCAGGCTCATTATGGAGATGTCAGTACTCATCATGAAGAGGTCAGTAGCCCACCCAAATATAATCAGGCTCATTATGGAGATGTCAGTACTCATCATGAAGAGGTCAGTAGCCCACCCAAATATAGTCAGGCTCATTATGGAGATGTCAGTACTCATCATGAAGAGGTCAGTAGCCCACCCAAATATAGTCAGGCTCATTATGGAGATGTCAGTACTCATCATGAAGAGGTCAGTAGCCCACCCAAATATAGTCAGGCTCATTATGAAGAGGTCTGTATACCACTGAAAAGGATTCTGCCTTCAGCAAAGAATTCAAAATGCTTAAAAGTAGATAAAACAGACATAATTTGATCAGCTGTGGTTTAGATATTGCTATGTTTATTTCTTAAATATGCTCAAGATTCTTTTTTTTTAACGATTTGTTATGTTTTAGTGTCCCATAATTTTCATCTCCAGTACTTATCTAAACTGATTTGAATTTGATTAACGGTTGCAATCATTTTAAAGAAAATAAACCCTTTTGCTAATTTCGATAACAACAGCGTCTGTTTTTCACTCTCCATCAAGTGGCCTGTTTTTAGTTATATTTTTTTTTCTATAGTGAAAATTCCTCACCATTTTAATAGATACTACCCTTTGTGTGGGAGTTAATCCTAATTTACCATGTCAATTCATTAGGGGAACTTTTAGCTTTTTTCAAGCGTTTTTTTGTTTGTTTTTTTTTTTCTCTTTCACAGGTTGGGAAGGCAGTTGCTATTGCTGCGTTGGACATGTCGGACTCAAACCCCTGGTCTCGTATTACCCTCTCTGAGCACAGCAGCATCTACGCCGTGCGTGAGGCCGTCCGGCGATACTTGCGAGGCCTCAGGGGGCAGCCACGGGTGGCACGGAACAATTCTCTTCGCAGCCTCAACAATAAGAATGCTGGGTTTGTTTTCTGCTTCTCATTTAACCCTATCCGTACGCCCTGGGGTCATTTTGTACCCCCTGGGTTGTTTTCTTCTAGTACGAAGATCTCTTTGAAACTTTCAGTATTTCTCAAAAAATCATTTTGACAGACTGCCATGCAAAACGAACTGATCTGATTAACGAGTATATTTCCTCTTTGGAAAGTGGTGGCGCAGAGTTCCCCACGTTGTATGGATACGATATTAGAACATGGCGTACAGATAGGATTAATCTGTTTGTGTATGATTGATTTCATAGGGTTTTTTTATTCACTGGCCAGTACATCTGGTTTCAAGAAGTTTCAGCAGGGAATGAAGAGCTGTTATATTACAAAAATTGCTTTCGTTCAAGGTTGTATTTAGTGTGGATTCTATCTAGGATATAATAACAAGAAAACGAGAAAAAAAACTTTGAAATGTAAAGAGTGTGAGTGTGTGCTTATGTACTTCCTCCCAACAAATGTACTTATATTGTCATTTGAAACTACAGTCCTACCTGCTCTATAGACCACCTGTCCAAGACAATCATCTGTACAAACAACCACTTCCCACTTCCCCTATGTGGGTGGTTGACGGGTGCTCTGATGTGGTTTGCTCCTTCTCTCCTATCAAACATCTGTTGTCCTTTTGTCCCCTCCTTCTATTTTGTGTTTGTTACTCTCTTGTAACACCTCTGATATCCGGCACTTATATGACCTTATTGTGTTGCAAGTGCCGTAAAACTCTTACTAAAACTAAAACTTCCCCTATTACTTTTTTTTCCAGATTACGAAGATATTCTCTTAGTGGGCCACCTGTCTAAGACAGCCACTTTTGTTCTCGACAATGGGTGGTTGTCTTAGACAGGTCCGACTGTATTCTCATACGACGGTAATTTCTTTAAAGGGTCACCGTGTGGGTGGTTGGCAGGTGCTCTGGTGTGGTTTGCTCCTTCTTTCCTATCAAACATCTATCGTCCTTATCTCCCGCTCCTTTTTTATGTTTGTTACTCTCTTATAACACTTCTAATCTTCTGGCGCTCATATGACCTTATGCAGTCGCGGGCACCAGTGGTTTGTCAGATTTCTGACTCGACCATAATACCGTAATTAAACTTTACTAATCATCTTTTTTTTACCATTGGTCCTGAAGTATTACAGTCTTACATAAGGTGGGTCTTGTAATGAATTTTGGGTGGGGGTTTTTATTGTTTGGTTTTCAGGCCATCTCCGCTGACACAGACCCGACGCACGAGCATGACAGACTCCAACTCCCACACGGGGAGCACGACAAAGGGTTTCCGGCCTGGCCAGGAAGTGTCCAGTCGCCTCTATCCCAGGCCGACAAATCAGAACGCAGCTCAGGCAGCGCAGTCAAAGCGTGAACTGGCCCCGGTGAGAGAAGGTTGGTTTCCAGTTTGACCTACCCCGTTATTCAGTATTGTTTTCCATGGAAATGGCCCCATATCTCTTTTTTTCTTTGTCTTCAAAGTCTTCTGACTCCGGATTACTGACCTTAAAATAAGCAATTTTTTTAAAACTCGAGAAAGATTGGATTTTGTTCCTGTAAATTCTAGATGAGGCAATGTTGTTTCTTCTCAGTTATGAGAGCTGATGTCAGTCTTTAGAGAAAAACTTGACGCTGGTGTCAAGGTCTGTAATTCTTCTGTTTAAAATCATTTTTACAACAGTGTTTCTGTTGGACCTAGTGCTTTATGTGTTATCTTTCTTTTCCCTACTCACACAAAACTTGGTTTATCTATTGTAACTGTCTCTTTAAAGCTTTTAAAGATCTGCTCCCCCCCCCCCCACCCCTTCCAACAGTCTCCAGTATTGTCTCCTGGTCCTCTGTTCTGAAACATTTTTTTTTACTTGTTCAGTCTTCCATTTATCCTATTTTCCAAATCTTTGTCTTCACAGTTGCGCAATCTTCTTTCCAATTCCTCTATTTTTTTCAGCGGTTAATGAGTGCCCTGGTGTGGTCAGTTTCTTCTCTTTCTTTTTAGCGTTAGCTGTCACTTTAATCTGTCACTTGATAAATGTGTGAGTGGACAATGCCACCAGAAGGCCTTTCTTCTTTTCTTTCTCTCTTTTATTTCTGTCTCATTTTTTTTCTCTGTGCTAAATGACTTTTATCGAGTCGCTGTACTTCTTTGTACTCAAAAAGGAGAAGAAAAAAGTGGTTGATGTAGCGCTTTCTCTCCATTAACTATGTCAGGTTCTCACTTCTCAATTGTGGGTGGTTTACGGGTGTTCTGCTGATGTGATTTACTCCTTCTTTCCTATCAAACATCTATCTTCCTAATCTCTCCCCCTTCTTTTTGTGCTTGCTACTCTCTTGTAACACCTCTAGTCTTCAACACTTATTGTGACCTAATTGTGTTGCTGCTGCTGTAAGACTCTTTACTAAAACAAAACAATTACTCAAACTCTGAGTGGGTGGTTGGCGGGTGCTCTGGTGTGGTTTGTTTCTTCTTTCCTATGAAACGCTTATCATCCTTATCTCCCCTTCTTCTTTTTTATGTTTGTTACTCTCTTGTAACACCTCTAATCTTCTGGCGCTCATATGATCTTTGCAGTTGCGAGAGCCGTAAAGCCTCTACTAAAACTCTGTACTAAAAGAAAACAATTACTCTGAAAACTCACACCTCTCAATTTCATCCGTTCTTTTATCGTCCTGTCCAGCTGTCCGTACAAACATAGCAGGCCCGGCCCAGACCTCTCTCCGACGGCTGAACGGGCCAGCCATGCCGAAGACCCCAACTCCCATGAGCAACAACTCGACCACCGTCATGCTCAGTATGACCACGGCCAATGAGGAGAGCCGCATGGCCCGCAACCTGTCATCCGAGTCGACTCTGAGGCCCCGAGAGGCGGAGCTAGTGCTCAAGTCCCGCGAGTCGGATCGAAGTCTGAGGTCACGGGATTCCGCCGTCAGCATGAGGTCGAGAGAGGAGAGTAAAGTCCAGCAGCTGAAGAATGTCAGTTTGGTGAGTGGGGGTGGGGAGGTCAGTTTGTGAGTGCCGGGGAGTTGTGTGTGTGTGTGTATGTCAATTTGTGAGTGCGTTGAGGCAGTTTGTTGAGTGTGTGTGTTTGGGGCGAGAGGGGAGTAGTTTTATGAGAGAAGGACAGCAGTTTTTTGAGTGAAAAAGGGATTGGTAGAGGTGGATGCATCATTTTGAGTGTAGGAGTTCAGGAGGCAGTTTGATAAATTGAAGGGGGGGGATGGGGGGCAGCAGCTGAAATTACAGTGTCATCTAATATAATTCATACAAACTTGAAATTTTTATAATAATATTCTAGGTCTTATGGGGAGGGGGGGTGTATGTGTGTCAGTGTGTGAGTGCCATGAGGCAGTTTAGTGAGTGTAGCGAAACAGTTTTATGAGTGAAGGAGGGCAGGTTTTTTTCTATTAAAAGGGAGTTTGATGGAGGAGGATGGGTCATTTTGAGTGAAAGGGGGGTCAGTTTGGTGGGGGTTGTTGGGGATGGGAGGCAACAGCACTAGTCACGCTAGACTCATTCCTTTGAAATTAGCCAGGTAGGATGATAAAAGTGTATAGGATCCTTGGGGGTGTTTTTTGGAGGGGTTTGGGAGGGGGGGGGGATGAACTTATTATCAAAAAACAATCTTTTAAAATCACAGTATTTTGAGCTGTGCCACATATTGCCTTCTTTTCCTGTTGACATGATGCTTAGTTGATGACAGGCCTGAACATTGAAAAAGCTTGACTTTAGAGAGGGCTGGGGGTTTCTTTTAATTTTATATTTTGATCCTTCTGAACACTTGTTCCAAATCAACTTCTATTATGTCATCTTATTTCATACAAGCTTACACAATGTGTGTGTGTGTGTGTGTGTGTTTGTGTGTGTTGGTGAAACACCAAACCCAATATACCAGCGTTGGTGGTTGGCGGGTGCTCTGGTGTGGTTTGCTTCTTCTTTCCTATCAAACATCTATCATCCTTATCTCCCCTCCTTCTATTTTGTGTTTGTTACTCACTTGTAACACCTCTAATCTTAGGCACTTATATGACCTTATTGTGTGGCAAGTGTCGTAAAACTCTTGCTAAAACTAAAGTTTTTGTGTGTGGAAGAGAGGATATGTGAGAGAGTATGTTGTGTATGGGTGTGTGTGCATGCATACAAGTGCGAGTATGTGCATGTATATATGTGTGTGTTGGTGTGTGTGTGTGTGTGCATGTGTGTGTTGGTGTGTGTGTGTGTGTGTGTGTGGTGAAACACCAAACCACGTATATACCAGCTTCTGGAAAAATGAAGATTTTTTGTGGGTGGTTGGCGGGTGCTCTGGTGTGGTTTGCTCGTTCTTTCCTATCAAACATCTATCATCCTTATCTCCCCTCCTTCTATTTTGTGTTTGTTACTCACTTGTAACACCTCTAATCTTAGGCACTTATATGACCTTATGCAGTTGCGAGCGCTGTAAATTCTCTACTAAAACAATATACCAGCATCTGGAAAAATGAAGATTTTTTGTCTAATCACCAAGGCGGGGAGTCAAGAACATGCTTTAATATTTTCAGGTGAACAAACGAACTCCCCCCAGCCGAATCCCCCTGGCCACTGGCAAGTCTCAGCTTCACCTCCCGATGTCGTCAGGGGTGGACTTGAACCCCACTGCCGCCAGACTGGCTGCCAAGGGCAACCAGAGGCAGACAAGGTCCGGGCCTGCTGCTGCCATGACGACCACAGCCCGACAACAGCAACAGCAGCAGGTTTTGGAGGACGCCGGTGAGCCGACCCACACCACTCGCTCTGTGAGGTCGGCCATCGTGTCCAATCCTCTTCCTTTTGCTAATGATGAGAGCGCTGAACCGCCTCCCCAAAAAACAGCTGATGTTGGGTGAGTAGCTTCTTTCGTATCCACGTTTGTTTGTTTTTTTCATATTCATGAATTTGTCCTTTCATATTCATGTTTTTGTCCTTTCATATTCATATTCATGTTTTTGACCTTTCATATTCATATTCATGTTTCTCATATTCATGTTTTGCTCCTTTCATATTCATATTCATGTGTTTGTCCTTTCATATTCATATTCATGTTTTTTGTCCTTTCATATTCATATTCATGTTTTTGTTCTTTCATATTCATATTCATGTTTTTGTTCTTTCATATTCATATTCATGTTATGCCCCTTTCATATTCATATTCATGTTTTTCATATTCATGTTTTTGTCCTTTCATATTCATATTCATGTTTTTCATATTCATGTTTTTGTCCTTTCATATTCATATTCATGTTTTTCATATTCATGTTTTGCTCCTTTCATATTCATATTCATGTTTTTCATATTCATGTTTTGCTCCTTTCATATATTATATTTGTGAAAGTTCGTCTCTTTGGCCGCCTAAATCTTCCGAACCTCTTAACTTTCCAATTTGAAAAAAATTAATGGTGGTTCAGAATCATTTAAAAGTTGCATAGTTTTATTGAGGAGCCTGAAGTCACTAGTTTAATTTTCAGTTTTTCATTAGTTTTGTTTAGATCTAATCTTTTGAAAGTCGGTTTTCTAAGACACCATTGTAAACATGTGAGGTTTCCGTTCACTAGCCGTGCGCACTGGTTCCTCAATGACTTGACGATCGATTCTTTTGAGTCTGTTCATCGAACAAGTACCCAGCTAGTCTCATATATTTTTGTAGTTTGTTTTGATGTGCTTTCTGAGAAAAACGGCAGGTTTCTTTTTTCTTAAAATTCTGCCGGGGGGGGGGGGTGTATTAGTGGGTGGTTGGCAGGTGCTCTGGTGTGGTTTGCTCCTTCTGTCCCTATCAAACATCTTTCGTCCTGATCTTTCCTCCTTCTTTTTTATGTTTGTTACTCTCTTGTAACACCTCTAATCTTCGACACTTATATGACCTTATTGTGTTGCAAGTGCCGCAAAACTCTTACTAAAACTAAAGATATCCTGCTCTTTATTCAGCCCAGTGTAAATTTTGCAGTTCCCCCTTGTCGTTTCGTCTCAATCAAGGGTATGGCATAGCTCTTTTTTTGTTTGTGTTGTTATTGCTGTGACTTTGTGGCTAGCTACTGAATTACCTAAATTGTGTTGATTTAGCCGTAAAATGCTTACAAGTGAATTATTTAACATTTTTGTAACCTCGGTGATTTTGTGACCAACTACTGAATGATCGAAATTGTGTTAATTTGGCCATAAAACTCTTAGAATACCAGTCATTTCGTCGCACCGGTGCAGTCAAGGCGTCGCAGTCATCTCGTCACAGGGTCATGTCGTCACACCCCAAATCCGCAAGGACTTCGTCACACACTTGCAAACATTATTATATAGAGCATAAGCCCTGACCCTTTTCAATTGTAAATTTCAGCATTCCTGATATGGAAAATGCATTGGGGCGGGTTGCTTCTGGGGAAACGCTTCCCTTCTTGGGCTCGTATAACAATTTTCGAGAGACAAGGGAAGTCTTTCGTCACACATAATAGGGGTGTGACGCGGTGACCATGTGACGAAATGACCGGTTACCATTTCTTACAAGTACATTATTTAACCTGTTTCTGTTTTCAGTGACTTTGTGAAGAAGAAGCGTCGCAACTTCAACCCGTCGCGGCGCGGCCGAGGCAGCACGCAGAGCCCAAAGTCTGGCGGCAACACCAAAGGTCAGCAGTCGCGGGAGTCTGGGGGTGAAAGTGAGGCTGACGGCGCCAGGAAGGGCCAGCGCCGGCGAAAGCGCCGCCCGTTCCATTCAGGCGCCGAGGCCACGCCCTCTCCCCTGACCCTTGACACGACCCAGACTGACCTCCCCTTACTGTCTCAGGTGGACCCAGACCTCTCCCCAACTGTTCTGACCAACGACTTTGGACAAGGTAGCCCCAGATTCCTGCCTTAGCTTTCTCGTGCTACTCACCTTTACTAACAGCCACCCCCCCTCACTCCCTCCCCTCCCACCCTTTCTCTCTAGTGTAACCTCTTGGGAGGAGTGAGTTTTGGATTTTTCCTTCTCTCTCTTTGGTCTGTTTACTTTTCGTGGGGATAGTTGATGAAAGAAAAATATTTCTCTCCCTTACCCATGATAGCCTTCTTTCCTCTCCCATAATAGCCTTCCTCTTACTAATTTCTGTAGCTCTGTGTCAGCTACTTGTTTTTCAATGTATCGTAGTAACTAGATGTTATCTGTGTATAGCAGTGCACTGTTCAGTAACAAATGGAATTGGTTTGTCAACCAATTTGCTAGTTCATGTTTTCATTTCACTGGCTCATTTTTGTTTTTGTAGTGTCAATTTTCTATTTGTTTATTTATTCCCAAGTCAGTGTCAAATGTATTCACTCCTGCATGATATGAATACTGATTCTTCCCTTTGTTCTTCTTATCTCGGGGTTAGGATGGTTTAGTTTCTCTTCCTCCTATCCCTATGCAGAGTAAACACATCAATTCTCTTCTTTCTGTTTCAAGAAAACACCGTTAAAGAAGGCATTTGTTCACAGTGAAGTTATAGATTTATCACCGGGACAGATTGTTCACAGTGAAGTTATAAATTTATCACTGAGACAGATTGTTCACAGTGAAGTTATAAATTTATCACTGAGACAGATTGTTCACAGTGAAGTTATAGATCTATCACCGGGACAGATTGTTCACAGTGAAGTTATAAATTTATCACTGGGACAGATTGTTCACAGTGAAGTTATAGATTTATCACCGGGACAGATTGTTCACAGTGAAGTTATAAATTTATCACTGAGACAGATTGTTCACAGTGAAGTTATAGATCTATCACTGAGACAGATTGTTCACAGTGAAGTTATAGATCTATCACTGAGACAGATTGTTCACAGTGTAGTTATAGACTAATTCATTCAGACCGATTTTTGTGGTCTGCTTTTGATTTTTTTTTTTCTCCTTATAATTTTATGGTTTATATTTGGCATATATGTTTTGCCTTGTGTGAGGTGTTGCATATCCTGTCCTGTGATTTTAACATCAGCTCACACAAGGTTAGCTTTTAATGGTCTTGCTGTTTTTTACTTTCTTTTCTGTGTTTATTTTTCTTGCATGTTGCAACACATACATATCTACTACTCAGCAGTGATGCATCAAGTGGTATTTTAAGACTAACACGAGTATGATTTGTTTCTTTATATTTATATCTGTGATTTTTTTTTTTTCTTATTCTTATATTTAGTGTGGTATGTGTTATATCTATAATTGTCTGCGTTGTATTGTGGTCTCAGCCGATATCAATTAACGTGATGTTACTTTTTTTTTGGGGTATGGAAAAGTTATGTTTTTGGCTGTTGTTGCCATCAAGTTCCCGATATACGAGCATGCTTACATTTGTGTGTATTTTCTTTCCATTTGTCCGCGCCATAGTGTCGGCCAGGTAAGGTACCGCGGGCACCTGGTTGTGTGGACGCTTTCATCTGCACCGCTTCTTGGTGTTCCTTGTCGTCACATTTATCTATTTTTTTTCTCTTGTCTCTTTGCATGAATTGAATATATGGAGTTTTTTCCCCTGGAACCTATGAATTGTACTCCAACTGGGTTTTTTTTTAGATTTCAACGGCAGGATTTGAAGAAATAAGGAACCCAAGTAGAAACTCCCCCACACCTTTCTGGACAAATCTTTTGTCATTGGCCTTTCAAAATGATGAACTGTGACATTTACTGAGTATGATGCATACATGTACACCGGCTTCTACCCAACGCTCCTTTCTTTGTGGGACTTTTGTTTGGAAAGGCTACTTTGTGACTTGAGCTTCGCTGCAGAACTCTTCCATATCTGTGATGTCTGTCTGTCTGTCTGTCTGTACATGAACATCATTTTAAGTTGCCTGCGATGTCGGGATTGATGTTCAATTTCTGCCACAAGCCTCAAAGTTTATTTTTTTCTTCTTTTTTTTTTACGTTTCCAATCTTGGCTGTTCCTCTTTTTTAAATATATTTATTTAATTGATTTTTTTTTTTTTGATTTTTTTTTTATTGATTTTTTTTTAGAGGGAGAGGGGGGGTATAAATAAAATATTCATAGGGATTTCAATCTTTGATACAGTGTCCTGTGATTTTTTGCAGCTACCAGGGCAGTGCTACTGACTGAATTTGTCTTTAGGCCATTCCCAAAGGGGGGGGGATATTAACCTGTTCTTATGCACAGTAGAATTTTTAATGGGCTGATTTATCAATGTCATGCTCATACTGTGCCGGAACAACATAGGGGGAACTGCTGCTTTTTCTTTCCTCATCCTGACTATCGTCATTTTGTCCTCTACTTCTTTTGTATGTTGTCACTCTCTTGTGAACTGCTATTTCTGGGGTGCCTTGATAGTCGAAGCAGACTTTGTGCTGTTGAGGCTAGACGGGTGAGCAGAGTAAGTCTGATTCCCCGTCTGGACTTCTCCTTTGACATCCACCGGTTGGCACTTGTGCAGTTGCGGGCGCAGAAAAACCTTACTAAATCAAGCAGCTTCACTGGTGTGCCTTTGAAGAATCAAGCATACTCATATTTCTGTCTCCAGCTTTTTTGCAAAACTTTTCACGTGTTAATTTTTAACTTTTTAAAAATGTGGGTGGTTGGCGGGTGCTCTGGTGTGGTTTGCTCCTTCTTTCCTATAAAAAAATCTATCGTCCCTATCTGCCCTCCTTCTTTTTAATGTATGTTACTTTCTTGTAACACCTCTAATCTTCGGCACTTATATGACCTTATTGTGTTGCAAGTGCCGTAAAACTCTTACAAGATAACTTTTTAAAAATGCTTTTGACTATGTTCTGCTGTTTTTCGGTGTCTGTCTCACCGTGATATAATGTTGTTGACTGTGATAGCTTCAGTAAGAATTGTTGTGGCTTTTTCTTGCAGCTCCACTGGTTTAGCGTTGAAGAATCAAGCAGACACATGTTTCTGTCTCCAGCTTCTTGCAAAACTTTACATGTGCTTTTGTTATACGTAGGACTAGATTGGGTTGTTTTTCTGTATTCTCTTGGGTCAAGATATGCTCCTCATCAGTTCCTAAAGTCTTGTATGGTCTACCTTTATAGAGGTCCATTGTGTGTGTGCTCTAAGTTTTAAAATATATCACGTATCGGCAAGAACTCAGGGGGTCATCTATTAAAGTGTTGAAAGCTACACATGGAAAAGAGACTCTCTGATTGTCATATATTTAACATAATCTTAAATTTTAGGGTAACATCAGTCAGTACAAGATATATTAAGAGGTTTTTTGGGTTGTTTGTTTTTTTAAGTGGCATATCTTGTCCCAGAAGAAGCCTTAACTCTGTATGAGAAAAAGTGAACAAAATCTGGACTGTAATTTTTTCACAATTTTTTAAAGTCGTGGTAGAGGATGTCTGCTTAGTTCTGCTCCCTGTTGTCATGGCTTCGCTGAAGGCTGAAGAATTTGGGACTATTCTAGAAGACATTTTGGTTAAGACAGTACCAGAACTCTTATTCATCCTCCTCCTTTGTTCACAGTGAAGTTATAGATTTATCACTGAGACAGATTGTTCACAGTGAAGTTATAGATTTATCACTGAGACAGATTGTTCACAGTAGAGTTCCCCACGTTGTATGGATACGATATTAGAACATGGCGTACAGATAGGATTAATCTGTTTGTGTATGATTGATTTCATAGGGTTTTTTTAT